TCATTCAGCCAGAGTCGTAGAAAACAACCCAAACATGAGAGATGCAATTTCTGAACTTTAGGGAGATGCAGTGAGAAGAGACATTCTGGATCATTAGTGAAAAACTAAGTCCAAGCAGCACTGGATAAATATTGATAGAAATGTATGTGTATTTGCCATAATGAAGGCCAAGAACAAGTCTATCCCCTTTTAAAGACTTCAAACGTTTTTTTATCTTAGTTGCAAAACTTTGTGTGTTAGCTCCGGCTTCTTCCCCAGCACTTTCAATCATCAGAACATATATGTACCACATTCTTGATGAAAGGGGGCACTGAGACAATTATCCCAATAGTTCAGGCCATGAAATATTTGCATGAAAGAATCAAACAGTATTGGAAAGGGGAAATATTCCATTCTGGGGAAGTCAAGAGATCTCATTTCTAGGGGTGTGTTTTGGAAAAGGAGACAAGGACTATCATGCAGGGAATAAGGGCTTTGGAGTCAGACCTGGGTTTGAGTTTGTCCCTGTGGGGTAGGGAGAATGATTTCCCCCTACACAAGGACGAACACATCCTAACCTCTAGAACCTGTGAGTATATTACCCTACATGGTGAAAGGAACTTTGCAGATGTGACTAAATTAAAAAGCTTGAGATTATTTCAGATTATTTAGGTGAGTCCTACCTAATCACGAGAGTCCTTATAAGGGAAAGAGAGGGCGGGGGAGTCAGAGTCAGAGGAGGAGATGTGACGATGGAAGCAGGTCCGTGAGAGATGAGCGATTTGAAGGTGTTATGCTGCTGGCTTTGAAGATGGAGGAAGAGGCCATGAGCCAAGGAATGTAGGCAGCCTGTAGAAGCAGGAAAAGTCAAGGAAATAAATTCTCCCCTAGAGCCTCCAAAAGAAACCAGCCCTGCCAACCCAGCCCAACGCTCCTGACCTCCCTGGAGTGTAAGACAATGCATTTGTGTTGTGTTAAGCCACGAAGTTTGTGGTAATTCGTTACAGCAGCAATTGGAGATGAATACACCCTGCTTTAGCAATTAATAGGCAGTAACTTGCTCTTGGGCAAGATACTTCATGAGATTGAGCCTCAGTGTATGCATCTATAAAACGTAGTGACTACTTATTTTAAAGGGTTGTGCAGTGAGGACTGAGTGAGGCCATGCAATATGAAGCATCTAGCCAATGCCTGTTAGGATTATTACTGTCTTTGCCTCTGATGCTGTGATTGTAGGCCAAATCCTCAACATCTCTGTATTTCCACAGCCTCATCTGTTGAATATGTGGCTTAAACAACAGAAATTTTTTCTCACAGTTCTGGAGGCTGGAAGTCCAAGATCAAGGTGCCAGCATGGTGGGGTTCTGGTGAGGGCCCTCTTCCTGGCTTACAGACTGCTGTCTTGCTGTGTCCTCACATGGCAGGGAGCGAGCTCTAGTCTCTTCCTCTTCTTATAAGGATACTAATGTTATCATGAGGACTCCACTCTTAGGAATCTGTCTACCCTAATTAACACCCAAAAGTCCCATTTCCTAATCCCATCCCATTGGGGGTTAGGATTTCAACATGTAGTCCACAACAAGGCCATGCCTTCTTCCCAGGGAGGTTGTGAAGACGACATGAATGAATAATGTAAGCCCAGGTGTTTAAGGTGTGATTCAACTAAGTAAGAGTGATTCTTTCAACCTTGGCTTAGATAATACCCAGGGACGTTTCATTCCCCTCTCACTTAAGGACAAAGCCTCACCTCCCTTCCCACCCCTGCTCGGAGGGCACTTACCACCCTCTACTCTAGTCGTGAGTTATGAGTCTTCCTCCTTCACCGTCCATGAGCCCCTGGGGGCAGAGCCCTGCCTGATTCATGTTTGCACCTCCAGAACCTCGCTGTGGGTGTTTGCTAGAGTTATAGAAGCTGCACAAACATTTCTGTTCGTTGCCACACTCAGTCCCAGGCCCCCCTTTTTGCTGCTGCTATATGACTGAAACTATTTCACTGTAAAGCAGTAGTTTTCAACCCTGGTATACATTAAGATCACCTGGGGAGCTTTTAAAAAATTACTAGTGCCCAAGCTCCACCCTGGACCAATTAAACGAGTTCTCTGGGGGTGGGGCCTGGACATCAGTAATTTTTTAAAAGCTCCCCAGGAGATTCCAAGGTACAGGCAGGGTTGAGAAGCAATCCAATCTCAGCCAGTCACATCGAACCACTAACTGAACTCAGAGTTCTACATCAGAAGTCAGAGGTCGTTCTATTCTTCTCATCAAATCTGAAACAGTCCTCATTCTTAAAGACACAGATTCCAACTCACTTTGAGACAAAGGTGGTTATTAGAAACTGTACACACAAGACCAATGGATTCTCTGTAGTCAGAGCAAAGGAATAACGGCCCCTGTTTCTGCCAGTTGTTGAAAATGGTGGTCTGTAACGGAAGGTCGCCTTCGCTGATCAGAGGACAGTAAGCATACGCTTGAACAAATTATTCCAGACAATGGGAGAATGTGATTAAATCCATACGTTCATTCTGCTTAAAGAAATTTTCATCTCTGCTTCCGAATGTGACAGTAGTTAACCTTGTCTGCTATGATGTAAGCTAATCGGCAGTCCTCCGTGAGACCACGAAGATCCTAGCAACACAGAAGACCTACATGGAGATTACAGGGCACTGAGAAGTCCCAGAAGCCAGGATGAGGTCAGGTGGCCCAGGGTCAGCTTGACCACTCCCAGGCTGAGCTGAAACCAACCAAGTCACATTCTGCTTTTCTTTTAACATACAATTTCATTTCAAAGCACTTTTGGTAGTTCTGTTCAGGCAATGCTGATAGCTGTAGCATATTGAGACAACTCTCAGAATGAAAGTTGGCTAACTTTCATTGATATTGGAACTGAAACTCTTCTGTGAATTCCAGGAAATGTGTGCACAACTACTGGAGAAAAAAGTTGTGACATAGAAGCTGAACGGGTTCACAACAATTTCCATTTTTATTTCTAGGTCGACTGAAATTTGACCAGCATTCTAGAACAAAGTATATTATTAAAAGCTCAAAAACTTACTACAGCTTATGAATAGACGTCATCATAGATAAGCATTCACTATACTTACAGAGGATTTTTTGTAGGGGGCTTTAAAAATCCATTGAAACAATGTGTTTTATATGCTATTGTATGTTACTATAAAAGAAGTTTAAAATAAAACTCTAACAACCTCAAGAAAATGCTCAGCCTTTAATACCAAGTGAATGATAGCCCCAAGATTGTAATCTCTCCTGATATATGGCTCTTTTCTGGCTGGCAGAGGGATATTTATGATCCCATTAAATATATATGAGTAAATGATACAGATGGCTTGAATGCCAATTAATACACATGAAAATAACCAATAATATATCTTCTTTTTGTAAATGATTATAATTTGACATTCTTGAAATAATTTCATCCTCTTCTTCAAATTATGCTAATTATGCTTCTCCTTCTTGCTTTTTCTTTTATTTATCTGTGTTGCTTGGTACACACATACACATGTTCACAAACTTCCATACCAAGGCAATTACTACCACTTAAATTTACATGAAAACAATGTCAGCTATAGATGTGGACATAGAAAGACTCACTGTGTTCTCTCTAATTATGACAGTCCTAGTTTTCTTTACCTAGTAAGGTAAATATTTGAGCACAAGCATATTTTTTCTATTGTATCCCATTTTTGTAATAAAACTTTTTCCCCACAAGTTTGGTAATAGGGAGAAAAACTTTCTGTGTCTTGGGATTACAAATCATGATTTATGTAAGGTGTGAAAATTAGTACAGTTCAAATAACAGGAAACATTTGAAATGTTTTGATAGATTTCAGTTTTTAAAATGTTTGATAGTGCTTTTATTCTCTGATCAGTTTATACCTTTTGTATATTTTTCTTTATGTTTTAAAGGTCTAATTCATATATAATAAAATGCACATGCAGTAAGTGTATCATTTTGTGAGTTTTGATGAATGCATACAGCTGTGTAACAAACACTCCAATTAAAATACAGTACATTTCTACTGCCCCACTAAGCTTCCTCGTGCCCCTTTGTAGTTAATCTCCCCACCCCAGGCCTCATGCAAGCACTGTTCTGATTTCTATCACTATAACTTATTTTTGCCTATTCTATAACTTCACAAAAATGGAATCAGTAGCATGTGCTCTTTTAATCTAGATTCTCTCTCTCTCTCTTTTTTTTTTTTGGTGAGAAAGATTGTCCCTGAGCTAACTTCTGTGCCAATCTTCCTTTATTTTTTATGTGGGATGCTGCCACAGCATGGCTTGATGAGTGGTATGTAGGTCCATGCCTGGTATCCAAACCCACAAATCCTGGGCCACCAAAGCGGAGCACACAAACTTAACCATTATGCTACTGAGCCAGCCCTAATATGACTTCTTCTGCTTAACATAATGGTGTAGTGGTTTGAGATTCATCTGAGTTGCGCTTTTTCCTTTTTGTTCCTGAGCATTATTCCATTGCATTAACCTGTTGATGGACATTTGGGTTGTTTGAAGTTTGGAGCCATTATAAATAACACTGCCATGAAAATTCTTGTACAAATCTTTTGGAGGACAGATGTAAATATCTAAGTGGTACGTGTCTAAAGTAACATACTTTATATGTAGAAATCAAATCAGGATATTTATGTCTCTTAACTGCCAAGCTCAGTGCATACCAGGATCTAAAGGAGATATATGGACACATTAGTATGTGGTGAGATGCTGGCCAAAATAATGTCCTAGTCTCCCAGGACGACCTTGATACCTTACTGAGCTCTGTTAGTATAAACAGAGTTGCCTCAGTTATATAGTGCCTGGTATATAGAAAAAAGTCAGTAAACTCTACTGAATTTCAAAACTGCATGCATAATTGACTGAGTAGATGGATGAATGAATGAATGAGTAAACGACTCCTGAAGTTCACTATAAGTGAGTACATCTTTCAAGAGGATCATTGCCACTGTGATAAAATCTAGACTGAAGCTTTCCTTTCTCTCCCCCAGATAACCATGATCCTGCCCTCCGGAAGTCAGAAAAGAATGAATAACTTTGAACACATCACAGCAATAAAAATATAAGAATAATGCTGGGGTGAGTTTGTTGAATGCCTTCTCCTGATGCTATTTTAAAATCCTGAGAAAGACTAAGATATTTCATCAAAGCTGACCTAGCATAATCCCTGGGTACCAAGCTTCTAGGCTTAACTTCTAAGGGTGGTTAGGAGTCAGACAACATTGCCTCCTCTTGGGGAGGTATACAAATAAGAGGTCTCTTTGAAAAGACCCAGGTACCCTCCAGGACCATCTAATGTTAGGAGGGAATGTTTCTTTCCTGTTCTTGAGGTTTCCTTCCATGGGGAGTAAACATAACACTCCTGGCCTCTTTCCACCCTGTCCCACTCTGCCCTTGGGAGTATGGTGGAATCAACCATCTTGGAATAGTTGGGAAGAAGAAAGTGAGCATGTTTCCCAGACTTTTTCTCTCTTTCTGCTCATGAGAGGTAGTAGTTCATAGGAAGCGAACATTTTCCCTGCTTCTCCATGCCCAAAGTTTTCTAGGGCAGGCTCCCATGTGTGGGGGCTAGTGGTGATCCAACCAATAGGATCCACTCAGAAAGTCTGTCCAATTCTGGGGCTCTATATTACAAAGCCTTCCTGCCTGAAGAAGGATTCTTCCATATCAGGATTTTTCGTTAGTGCCATCGAGTGGATTCTGACTCCTGGAGACCCTGTGTACAGCAGAGTGAAATCCTGGCTGTTCTTTTTTGTGCCATCCTCTCACCTTCCAGTATAGACAATGCTCCACTGCTAATTCATAGAGTTTTGTTGGCCAATTTTTTCCACAGTGGGTGGCCAGGTCCTTCTTCCTACTCTGTCTTAGTCTGGAAGCTCCACTGAAACCTGTCCACCATGGGTGACCCTGTTGGTATTTGAAATACAGCTGGCATAGTTTTCAGAAACACGCAGCTGCCACAGTATGACAACTGACAGACGGATGTGGTTCCCTGACTAGGAAACGAACACCTGACCTAAGTGGTGAGAGCACTGAATCTTAACCACTAGGCCACCAGGGTTGATGGAAAGGTAATATTTTTGGCTCCTGTCATACTTTTAATCTTATTGCTCAAGTGTTTTAGAAGTCAGGTGGGGAAGAAGGTGTCATTTGTTTGGTGTTTTCATACCCCATAGAATCTTGAATCTATTTTTTGCCCCCAGCCCTACATGGCCTCAGAAACCTATCTGATACATTTTCTTGTTCTTGAAGGATTCACATTGAATTACTCCAAAAGCACTATGTAACCTAAATACATAAAGTAGCAGCCGCATTTCAAGGTAGAAAAGCTGAAAATTAAGTAGTCCCAAAGATTTATGGCCCAGATTAAATATTGCCCCTATTGCCACCCACATGCAGAACAGAGGACCTGAGTGTAATCTGTTCCAGATGAAAAAGTCAGAGACCCAGGGAAGATTATCCAGCGAGCCTCAGCAGAGAGGGGTTGGACTATCTAACATTTTACAGTTAATGGTGATGGCTGTCGCCCGACAAAGGTATTCATACAGGCACTTTGGGTAGAGAAGCAACTCATAGGGGAATTGACACCCTACCAAAGAAAGCTTGAAATTAGCCTGGGTCTTCCAGATCCAGAGTGACCACTGAGTCAGGCCCAAGCCTAAACCTACAAACCATGTTTGTGTGCTTTTAAAGAGCAGGACAGTGAAATGACTCATTTATTTAGTGGTGCTCCTTAGAGCGTGTTCAGCCAGTTATGATGTTACTGAGTGATGCTGAGAAAAGGGATAGAGGAAGTACTGTGCTCCGCTCTTGCTGCACGGTCGTTTACACGTGGTAATTTCCACTCTTCCTATCTGCGGCACCGCCACCTTCAGCACTCTCTCAGAATGTTAGCTCTGGAAGGACGCCCTTGCTCCGAGGCCCGGCCTTTGAAGCTGTTAGGGTAATGGATTGGCTTTGGTCAGCAGTTACTTTCTTGTCGTAATTTGGCACATCCTTAGGTTGTAAAATCTCTCTAAAGCTGGATACCCACTAACAGCTTTAATGTGATCCTGACAAGCGTACGCAGAGTCTCCACGAGGCCTCTCCAAATACCAGGGGAGCTTGGAGGCCAGTCACAGGCCCCAAGGCCGCCACCCTCTCAATTCTGGGGTCAATCTTTCTATCCCAAATTCTCATGTCTACCATAATCCTTTTCATTGTCCTTACCAGAAGGAGTAAATGTTTAAATTCCCTCTTTTTCAATGAACTTAATCTTAGCATTCCCAGCCAAACATTCCCACCACTTTCTCGGATACTCTAAATAACACAGATTCCAAGCAAAGAGTGAAAAAACAACTTTAACGTTAAAAATGTGGGAACTAGTTAGCCACATTCGTCTTGATCTGTGACCGAGGTGAGGTGAAGCGATGATTTTTTTTTACCTCCTTCTTTTCTCTTCACATTCCATCACAAGAGCTGCTGATCCAGCTCAGGCAAACATATTTGGTCATCCTGGATCCTTTCTCTTTTCCACCTAACAAGCTCTGCTTGGGGACTGCAATTCTCTGCTTGTGCACAAATGCATTCCTTTGGACTCACTCCTGAAGAGTAGCCCATGTGTGTTAAAACTGCAAAATGGAGCTCATAATGATTTTGCTGCTGCCTTATCCATACCTCTAGCTGCAGGCAAGGCATTGAAAACCAATGAAATCAGGCAGCTTTCCTCAACACAGAAATTAAGATGTCGGGATGTTAACAGAGACCCACAGACAGAGAACAACAGCACTTGATCACCGTTGGAAAGAGAACACTGCCTTCATGCTTCTTTCATAAATAAAAACTGTGCATGTGTCAGGTGGTGATGGCCTAGGACATTGTGAGTGCATAACCAAGCATAATCCATCAGCAAATTCTTTAACACAGAGCTTGCAAGGAAATTTCCAGTGTCCTTCGTCCTTTATCGCTTTCACAGACTCTTTAGCGCTGACCGCCCTTTTGCCTTTCTGGTGCTGTTTACAAGCTGAAAACACTTCTAGAAGCCAAAACCCCAACTTTCAAGTAAGGTGTGAAATGCTGCTTCTTGCTTGAGGCTCATTCCACTGCCTTTCTCTTCCGAGAGATAATAATGACTGCTTTAAGAAGACTCTAGCAGAGAGGGTGAAGAAGAGAAGTAGGTGCTTCTCCCTCACAGAGGAAATTGAAATTAGCCTAATTAGGTTTTCTGAGTGCTTAGACACCACAGTGATAGATGCCATCTAAATACATAGACAGATAAGAGGAGAGCACAGATGTTGTGTGAGACCACTGATTTAGTTCCAAGTCAATACTCTTAATTAACTGCAAACTGTTTAAATATATAACATTCCCAACATGCAGCCAGTAACACCTATATATCGCTCTTCATGTGAGTACCTTAAAGTAGAAAGCAAAATAGCAATCACATCCAAAAGTACAAAACAGTAATAATAATTACTTATATTTAAGGTAGATACACTGCCTCTAATTCTAGGCCCCCAGTGGTATTGCACACTTAGTAGATAATTGTCTTTTGTCCAAAATAGAAATGTAACCATCAAAGAGGAGCAAAAAAACAGCTGCAATCTAAAAGATACTGACTTGTATACAGGGAGGTTTCTGTTTTTTGGTTTGTTTGTTTAATGGGCACCTGACCTAAGGAAAATGCATGTGATTCTTAAGTTGGTTGGTGCCTAGATGTTGTGGTGTTGGTTGTAAGCTGAGCTCCTTGTCCAAAGTGAGGGTTGGAGGAAAGGCTTACTCCTCACTCAAAGAAGTGACAGTATGTGGAGCCTGAGCGTAAAGCAAGTCTTAAGAGAGAAACAAAATGCTTTGTGGTTGTCAAGCCACCATCCACTCATATTTGGGAGCCCATGGCCTCTGAGACTCTCCGAGGCCACTGGCAATACTGACAAGTGGCATATTCTTTTCTTTGTAGAAGTCGAAACAAATTGATTTGCTTATAGTCTATTCTCGTATTGGCCATACAAGAAAACTCCACTTAATAGCCATGGTCCCCTCCCTTGCTGTTCCAGTAAATAATAAAGAACCTGTAAAAAGAGAGGGACTAGCTCCTCAAGGAACAGATACTGTGACTGGGACTATGAGAATTTACAGAAAAGCAGCAAATATTTGTGAATACAGACCTGAGCAATCAATTGTCTGATTGCAGTTGCAGTCTGAATTTCTATTTACTCATATAACAAATATTTATTATGCACTTATTTTGTGCTAAATCCTGCATAGACAGCAATAAACAAAGGACTTACCTGCCCTCATGGAGCCTACACTGCCATAAAGAAGAAAAAGACTAAAGACGTAAACACAAGCATTTCTAGCAATGACAGAAGAGTGGAATGGATACATGAACATTCCCATAGATGATAATTAGAAAATCTGTACAAAATATAAAAAATAATTACTTATAGAAACAAGAAAACGTCCAAAAGCAGAAAGAAGCCAGAAGAGAGTTTAGTTTTAAAAAATTGGAACCAAGGGGCCGGCTCCATGGCTGAGTGATTAAGTTTGTGCACTCTGCTTCGGCAGCTCAAGGTTTTGGGAGTTCAGATCCCAGGGGTAGACATGGCACTGCTCATAGGGCCACGGTGAGGCAGCGTCCACATGGCAGAGCTGGAAGTACTTACAACTAGAGTGTGAAGCTGAGTATTTAGGGGCTTTGGGGAGAAGAAGGAAAAGGAAGAAAAGAGGAAGATTGGCAATGGATGTTGGCTCAGGGCCAATCTAAAAAACAAAAAAGGAACTAGAAGGAATAAGAATTGTGATTTTGCGGTTATCTTGCCGGAAGATGTTCCCCAACCACCCTGGCTAGGGCAAAGGAAAACATCACTCAGTCACCAGGCTCAAGGTCCAGGCAACAGAGTACAGGGGAATTTTTAAGAGGGAATCTGTGAGCAAGAGAATGGCGAAAGGAATGAAGTTCAAAAATCCGAGTATAAATTTTGTCCAAATCACTGCTGACCACTAAGGTATGCATCTGTAGGGAAGAATCTGACAGAGACATCAAAAAAGCGGGGAATGGCCAGAAAGGAATCTAACCTTTAAAGAGAGCTGTACCAGGTGAA